GTTCCCAACCTGGGGTCCACAGATCTCAGTGGGGGGCGTGATGCTCTGTCTGCTGGGAGGTTGTCCAAGATAGTTGCCCTTAATAACTAGAATCATGATAACACACTCACTGGCTAGTTTATTCAGCCACATCTCACACAGTCTGTAAGCACAATAAATGAGTTTTGCTGTGAAAATATGGTTAATTATTTATTGAAAATTCTGTATTTTTATGTTTTATATTTACTGTTATTTGTTTTGTGAAAATATGATCAGTATTATATTAGTTTTGATTGAAATCCATGGTGTTATTTACCCTTATTGTTGATCGTTGGCTGGCCTTAAGCTGCATGTTTTATTTGTGCGCCAGTGATGACATCATTGTTGGAAGTCGGAGAGTGAGTGAGAAGTGTCTGAAATGCTGTTTTATTGTGCCGAATGAGTGCATTATATAGTCCCTTACAGAGAACTCACTATGTAGGGTGTATGGAATGAGTAGGTGATTTACTCCTCACAAGGGGGAAAATATTTTGGACATAGATTACACTCTGACGAGCCGTCCAGCTATATTTACCGACCATGTTTGCAGTGTTCTTTTTTTATTTGTATAAAATCAACATCTGAGATCTTTATGGATTAAAAAAAAAAACAAATGCCCATAGCTGAAGAAGTGTCTGGTACAGGCTCTTTAGGTAAACAAAGAGAGAGATATCCTCTGTGGCTCCTTCAACGGATCGATTGTAGTGCGATCTTATGTTAGATAAATCAAACAAATATAAGCTGCTCCAAGCAGGGCAGCAGCTCTCTCTCAGACAGTGGTTAACATCTGCTCTTTGTTGTGCCTCCACTCACTGTTTACTTTCACTTCTATTCCATCAGACCTTCTTGTGCTGTGTTGATAGTGTGTTTGCGATCGCGTTGTTTACCAAAATCTACTCAGCTGGCTGATGCTGCTGAAAACTGCAGGTGTTGCTTTTCTCTGTGCGTGCTGGTGTTGGATAATATGTTCAGGTATACTGGAAAACATGCTGCTTCTGTAATGACAGTCTGCAGATACAGGGGCTGCAGGTTCCATGTTTGTAGCTGTGCTGTTAATGAGTTTTTCTGTCTTGTGTGTCTGAAAAAAATGACTTTTGAATCAACTCCTTCCGTTTTTTTCCTGTCTGCTACTCCCATGATGTACTGCTATTTGATAGAAAACCTATAAATATTAATTAGAAAGACAACTCAATGTTGTAACAATGCATAATTCATGAGTCACTTACAACCTTTACAGATAAATAGGAATCGGTGAAGTTGCCAGTTGACAGCGCCATGCTCTACTCCAACAACTTTCACATTCTGTTCTTCAGGTTATTGTCGAGCAGGGGAAGGTGAGTAGGTGGAGCACTTATCGAGCACAGTGAAGCACACTCCACTGCAGATGGGTGCTTTGTAGATTGTAGCTCAACTCTCTTGATGTTCAATTTCGAGTCCACAGTGTGCAAAGCTCTCTGTTTTTGACCTGGCCTGTTCAAGTGTGTTGTAATGTTTTGCACTGTTATGTTTAGTTTAAAAGATGGTTGTCCTCTTGCTTTAACGGTGGAGCTTGGATTTGTGTACATTTCTGATTTCCATCTTGCAATTTGTAGGTTTTACTTCTGTTTAGCATGCATGCATCATGCAGAGCCAGAGCATGGTGGTAAATCTGGCCTCGTGTTTCACGATACAAGCCGTCCTCCCAAGTTTTTACAGATGACAGAGATACTTTCTGACGGCAGAGGAAGAAAGGCTCTGGTGGTGCACAACCTCAGGCACCTGCAGTTACTGTATTCTAGACGGATCAATATATCTGTCAACTCATACCTTCTATGAGTAGAGAACATTTCATGGTGCTGCTGTCATTGCCGCAGGGTCCAACATAAAAAAAACAACAACATATGATATATCAAAGTCTTATCAGAAAGAGTGAAAAAACTGCACTTTTCTTTTTGATAAGACTTCTTTCTGTACCGTTACCCCTAAACTGTGCAGCCCTTTAACATTGAAGGGAAAATATATGATGCAATTTCTATACAGTAAGCTGAGCTTATTTTTGCTTCCTCTTTACAGGAAGAGAGGTTAAATCAGTCCACACTTCATCAAGTCAACTCTGCGGGTAGCGTTAAGGGTACTTCAGAACCGAGTGCCTAGAGAAATCATTCAGCAGCAAGGCTACAATGATATTTGAACCTAAGTAGCTATGTCTGCCTCAGCTGTAGGTATAAACCTGTATATTAGAGACAGTCTTTGAAAAGGACCCTGGAGGCCACAGGAACAGTTGCATCACATACTATAAGGCTACTTTACTTGAGACTTTCCATGGCTTTGTTTTGTTACAATGTCCACGGAATCAATGTAAAATATTCTCACCCAATTGTTCCTTTATTTTCTAATGTGCAATTTTGGTGTATTCACAGAAAACTTGTAGGCGGATAAACCATTTATTTTCCAGATATCTCTTGCGCATGTTTCTCGTCTTTAAACTTCACCGCACATCCTTCAACATTTCAACACATGTTTGTGTTGACTGCAGCTTCCATATCACTTTTTCTGCCTTGACCATACTCATCAAGGTAAACATGACTCATGTCGAGAGATTTTCCTGACTGTATATGGACCTGGAATGTGTTGATTTGTTCCACACTTCACACTTTGCACTCAACATGAGGAGGCCTCGGGAGCTTTCTGTTGGGCTTGTCAGGAAAAAATATGACTTTGATTTAAATGCTCTGTTTGCCTGTGTCACGGTGTACCTGAATGATGATGTTTTAGTTCATGTCTACTCCTTAGAAATAGTGAGGTGGCAAACTTTAGTGAACTCATTTTGACATGAACACTGAGGTGTGTGTATTGCGTGACCTTAAAATGCTGAAGTGAAGCTGCTCCCAGACGCCTGGATGGAAATTTCAGAGACTTCAGGGACGCTTTTGTTTATCGGAAACATGGATAGAAATGGAAACCAGTGTCGAAGATGACAGGTGGTGGAGTTGCACATGTGTTGGTTGAAGTGTTCCCGGGGGGGGGGGGGGGGGCACTAAGTGCACTTCTGCAAGCATGTGTGAAGGAGACACGAACCCACTTGGGGATTGCACGAGAATCCTAATGGTTTGTTGGTCCATAAATCTGTCTGGAGCAACAACTGTAGCAGCTTTATTTTTGGAAAACAGACATTAATATATCTTACCAAAATAGAGTAGACTTTCACAGAAAGCAACAATTAGGCCATTTTTGAAGAGTCTCTTGTCAAATAATGTTTTTCTCCAAGCGACAGGGCTATGTCCAAACAAGGAAACTGGTCTTAAAGTTGCCTGTATCACGCCACAAGCATTAGTATAGCGCCAATTCATAACAAATGTAATCTCGAGACACTTTACAAAAGAGCATGTCTGGACCGAACTCCCAACATGAAGCCACCATGCATGAGCACAGCTGTAAAGCAACTTTATCAAAGTTACAGTGGGAAGATAAAACTGCCTTTTCAACAGACAGAAGCCCTGAGCAGAGCCAGACTCATGTTGAACAGTCATCTGCTGCAACTGTGTTGGGCTTGAAAGAGTTATGCAATAAAACCCTAACCCCACATAATACCCACCCTCCCATGCATCATCAATTGGGGAGAATGGTCATTTTTAGCCCTAGACGTGCAGCTGTAGTCTTGGACTATAGGCATGATATCATGTATGAAGCAAAACCTGTCAGGGCCTTTGACAGGATCATTTATACATAAGTTATTCTGAGACAGTTTCAAACCACCTGATGACAGAATTGCTTCTGAACAGATGTCATTTCAACCACAAAGTCAATTTTTCTTTCTGCAATTGAGAAGCCTGTATTTGTCTCCATCTGGGGCAGGGCTTATCAAATCATCAATTAATAATGCAACACTTTACAAGATACTACATTACAATTTGAAAAGTCATTTTCTTTTTAGATTAGGCTGTCATGTTCCCCGCCAAAGTCTTAAAAAGCAAGTCATGCCAATAAAGCACCTCCACGCCCCACGAGTACCTCCGAAATGACTCCCCCTGATTGAGACAGTGTGCTCGCTGTCTGTGCTGCACTGACCCAGGAGAAAGTTTCAAACAATACTTCAAGTCCTCGAATCACACTTTTTAAAAATAAAACCTGCCTGTGGAGCAATCCCCTCGCTCTTCATCCCTGTCCAGAGAGTTTGCGCTGTCATAAGGAGCAAGGTCAGACTCTGCAAAGTGTCTACAGTGTGCAGGAGCCACCAAAATAGACCAGATTTTTTCGGTCAACTGACCTTTGAAACATCAACTCCTATTCGTGTCAGATTCAAGCCAAATGTTACTTCAGACCTGTCAGCACGGTGATGTGTTATAATGAGAAAATGTGTTTTCTTTTGCAAATTCACTGCAGTAATAAGACTGGAAGCACTTAAGGGTCTGAGCTAATGACAGGCGTTTCAGATGGAAGAGCTTGGCATTGATGGATGAGCGCAATTGCGATACAGTATGAGCTAATTAGAGGAGAAGATGATGCACTTGGCTGCTCTTAATGTCATCACGGACGTCTGCTGTAGTCTGTCTGTCACCATTAATACTGACCTTGACATTTCGTTGCTGGAATTCTCAGCAACCTGGTAGTTTTATTCTATTTTAACTTCTATAGGCTTCTAATCCTTGAAGTATTTTTGTCAATCTTTCAACCTCTTCCATTTTCTGTGTCTTAAGAGCCCATGGTGTGACATTAACAACATCCATTACTGTCAGTTATTCTTTAACGTTCAATTACACAAGATGCGGCAGGCCCATAATGTACTGTCACTGCTGATTCACCAGTGGACACTTTCTCCTTAATTCTCCTTTATTTCTCTCCTCTATTTCTCTCCTCCTCCTCCTCCTCCTGCTCCCCCTTATGTGCTTTCTGTCGCTCCCCTTTTTTTTCCCTCCTCCTCCTCACTGGCCAATCAGGCCACGCCTCCATGGCAACCGTCAGTGAGTGTAAAACATCCACAGATGGTGCTGAGTAGAGCGAGCGGCAGGCGCACTACGAGATCAAGTGTGGGAGTGTGTGTTTGTTTATGTGTCTGACAGGAGACAGAGACGTGGAGGCTCATTGGATAACCGCTGCATTGTGGAGTAGTTTCTAGTAACACCGAAGAAGAGCGGGAGTGTGTGTGCACAGAGGAAAAGTCTGAAGAGGAGAGTTGGAGGAAGAAAAAGAGATTTAAAAAAAAAAAGAGACACCCTCCCTAGAGAGGAGGAGTAAAACGCCGGTAAGAAAATATTAATGATCTGGCAAAAAAAAAAAAAAGCACACAACATCCCTAGTGTGGATCAGACAACCTCACGCTGAAGAGCGACACCAGCGCAAGACAAAACCCCCCCCCCCTCTCTGAGCTCCACTCACTCATGATCATCACTTCAAACACGCGCACACACAAAAGCCACGCTGACACAGCGGGAAAAGCGGAGGAGAGAAGAGGACTCTTGATTTGCCTCGGGACCCTGTCAAAATAAAAGTCATCCTTGGATTTCCGTTTCTTTTAAAGACCCTGGACCCAAAGTCCTCCTGTTGTGCTGACCTTTTCCAAGCCCTCCCCTCCTCTCCCAGGACTGAAGATGAGCTGCAGGAAAAGGTGCAAGCGGGAGATCTTCAAGTTCGCACAGTACCTGTTTAGACTTGTCACGGGCACACTTAACACCGGTAAGAGACCTGCTCGGCTTTAAGAGGCGGATTTCTCCCCAAACCTTTTGGAAGTTCGGTCTAACTTTGCCACTTGTTTCATGTTATGATGAAAATAGCTCATTACAAAATCAACGTTAGACATGTTGGGCTCTGTTGGGACACTTGCATGCAGTCATTGTCTCAAAGTATTTAGATTGTGTATACATAATTGCCTCCAGACTCTCTGTGAGGATTGCCAGAGATGGCTCAAATGTATTACCTACTCTTCATCATAATTTGTGTGAGCATGTGTCTGTGTGTTAGTGTAAATGGATGCACGGAGAAGGAGTACAGGCAAAGGTGAAACCATCTTGCATCTTAATTTGCAGCTCCATGGATTCCAGATGTTATGGAAATATTGCCTAATTATCTCATTACCATCAGTTAATATGAGTTTTATAGGATCCCGAGTCATTTGCGATAGTGAAATATATGACAGTCAAAAAGAGCGCAGTGAAATGAATGTGTCACAATCTGTTGATGCCGTATCTGCAATCGTCCCTGGAAGCAGAAGCTGTTGCAGCCATGTACACACCAGCATTCTTCATCACAATTTGTGCCCCTGTGTCAATACCTGCAAAGTGTAATACATCCTTATTGTTTCAACCACACACCAACTCACTGAGAGCTTTCCCGAATAAGACAGATAGTGAATCAATGGTATTAACAAGATAACATCTTGGATTAGAGTGGATTACTCGCAGATTACTCCAGGAAAGGTTCAATACAGGATAAAGGTTAGCAGGAGTAGCATGCACTCATCACTGGCACTTATTTCTGTTGCGCATCAAATGGTGTTAAGAATTATTTAAGTATGTCATCACGACCGTGTGCAGTCTTTTATTCTGGCAGGCTGTACAGATGTGACCACCCTAGTATCATATTTTAACACCTTCGCCTCCCTCCTGCCTCCTCTTGCATTAACTGAGCTTCGCTGTTGAGTAAGTTGTTGATTATAACGCTGTGTGAGTGAGTATGTGTTGAACCCAAGAGAGGTGCTATAGGAACATGATAATGAATTCCAACATGCATCACAAGATGTGAGACTTCATTTATTTTTTCCTCACAATGGCTCCATCCAAATCAACCTACTGTAGAGTATATATTTTCACCCAGCAATGGCCTACTTTCCTCCGTCTCGTTGACCTTAGACACAAAAAGAACAAGTGGTAAGGATGTGAGGCAGCCATAGAAGAGCCCCTCCATCAATGGGCTGCCCTATTAAAGGTTGTAGACGGCTTCAGCTTTCCAATCATAAAGATAAATATAACCTCATGGGGGATCCCATTCTTAGAGAAAACCTCCTATATCTGCCTATTGGAGCCTGCTCTTGGTTTCTATAGCTACCAGCAGGTCATTTAGGTTAAATTGCAATTCCCACTTATTCAAGAAATGATGCAGAGTATGCTCTGTTGTAATTTCCTCTAGTGTCCTCAAAGCTTGGCATTCTAAAAATACATGACGGTGCTTCATTGTGTCCAGTAGGTAACAGTTCTCGTGACCCTTGATGTAAAAGTCGACACTTGTCATTTATTGATTATGTTAAATACAAGGCAGGACGTATTTCCCTTAGGACAAGTCCAATCACTTTGCTTTTGCTGAGTCAGAGAATTTTTTTGGGATGAAAATATCTGAAAAATTTTGGTTGGATTGCTATTTTCATTCACCTCAGAACTCCCCAAAAAAGGGAATTACATTTGTGATTAAAAAAAAACAAAAAAAAAACGAAAGGCCAAAGAAAAGCTCAGCGGGATCGTAGGAGAAGAAAACAAGCAGGATGTCATACAGCGTAGAAGAGAAGTTAAAGGATGAAGCATAAGAGGTGAAACTGACACCTAATTGCACTGCATCAAACACATTGATTCTGCCTTTACCTTTTTAGGAGCATTTGATATTCTTCAATAAATCAGATATCACGATGTACGAGTGTATTATTGTCTTATATTAATTATTGCAGAATACCTGTGTGATGATATTGTCTTTATTGTGGGTCACATCGCTAGTCTCTTGTCAGTTACCCTACAGTTCCCACCCTGAGAATTGACACATACAGTCAATGTTTTATCTTGTCAGACTGTAAAATTAGTCCTAAGCGGCCATGTTTGTTGGTTAATGTAAACTATGATGTTTTGAACACATTGTTTAGCTACAGCTTCTGTGCCCAAAAAGTAATAAGAGTAATTTGTTCCCCAAATAAATCTCCAAAACCCATCATCATTTGTTCATTAGACGATGTCCACTCGAGTTGATCTATCTCTCTATAAACACCATATTAACTTATCTCACATTGCCTGTGCTGCAGATGAATATAAATGGAGTTTGACCAGGGCAAAGCTGGCTCGGCTGTATAGTTGACCAGGGAAAGAGGATGATGGATGGAGTCGGTTAACAGACCATGAGATTTTAATTGAGATGTTCATTCTCCTAGAACTGCCTTGCAGTCATTGCTTCATTGATCACTATGTTGCCAAGGCCAGAACAAACACATAGGGTAAGGTCGGGGTAATGTGTGCGATTTAATGAAACAAGCATTAGCAGGTTGTTTTGTACATTACATGTACAATGTCATGACAGGTCCACCGGGACTTGTTTCATATTAAGGATTCATTACAGATGTGTGTTAAAGGTCTAATTGTCTTGGTCTATAAAGTGTCAAAAAGGAAATCATTTATTGATGAACACACTGCACAGCAGAAACGAAGACGGTCGGCCAACCTTATTATCCTGCTGCCCAGTAGGCCTTGAATTTTCCAGCTGTAGGAGAACGATTGAATCAAGGATGCGCATTCTTCTTGGGTATAAATCCGTATAAAACAGCACTGTCAGCACTTTTTAATATATTGGAAAAAGAGGGAATATATTTGTTGCACACACAAGGGGAAATAACCATCTTTTCTAATATTTCCCCTATTGCTTCTGTGCGAGGCAAGGAGGAAAACTACCAGTCCATATGCATTTTCAGTGTCTATTTGTTTTGTCGTCAATTCCCCTTAGTGCATTGAGATGGGTTGAAGCATGTCTTTTCCACCTCCACTCAACTGGGTTGCATTGTATTGCACACTGAATCTTCCTTTTACTCAGGATCCAACACGATACTTTTTTGAATCTTTCACCACATCTTCACAGTTCACTTCTCCGCCGGCTGTCAGGCGTCTCAGCTTGGGTAATGCATCATCCTTTTTTTGTCCTCATCAGGACAGCCTCGCAGGCTCATAACCGAGTCTAAGCACATCGTATCCAAATCTGAGTTGCTTGCACCCCCCCGAACCTTTGCACTCACTTGGTGGTAAAAGTTTTGTAGGTGTAGGATGACTTGTGTTTGAGCTGTCGAAGCTTTAATGAGCCTCTGAGCAGATGTAGTTCGATTCAGCTTGTCGTTGCGGTTGTTTTTTTTCCTGCAGTGGAGATCAATGTTCCCTTGGTTGAGTTCTTTATTATAGAACAAAGCTGAGTGATCGCAATGCCTCTGAGCTTTTAATGATTATAAATCAGGTATGCAGCTTCCCAGTGAAAGCTAAACAAGCTTATTTCTTTCCTTTTAAGATGTTTCACTCTATGTCCATATCTACTTAATAGGTTTTTTGTTTGTTTCTCTGCAATCCTAATGATTCAGATGTACCACAAGGGCACGTTTCTAAGTTTTTCTGTACAATGTTATCGACAAGAATCCACCCTGAATTTGGACTGGCGGCTTTATGAGACAGCTTGTCTGGGTCAGGACTGCAGTGGGCACAGGTCAAGCAGCAAGACGTCTACATCTTTTCTCCTGCCAGGTTTCTAAACTCTTTAAGAAAAGCACTGTCAGCTTGGATGTGTTGTTGTCCTGACTAGTCCTGGATCTTTCAAGGGGTGTAATTCAGTTCAGCCCCAATGGGACACCCTTGGCAAGGTGCTTCAAATAGTCCTTTTCTGTCTGTATTTCAAGGTCCTTTTGAGACAATTTAGTCCAAAGAGTAGGAACAATATCTCTGTGTGAAATTACTTCAAAATAAGCCTGTTCATCTACCGCTTTGAAAAGTCTGTGGATTATTTGTGCTGGAATATAGAAAAGGATTTTGGTCTTTTGTACTTAAACAGTAATTATAAATTGAAAGGAGGGTCTTATCAGGCGCCTTATAACCCAAAATCAAGGAACATAAAAAGTGCACCAGCAAGGGAGAAGTCTGTTCTTGGGCTCTTTTTGCATTTAGAAAGAGGAGGCAGTCAAAGCTATGCACTCTGTGACTTTTCAGCATGTCCTGAAAAGTGCACGTATACATGGACAACATGTACCTGGTCGGTGATGCGATGGCCCGTCTTTGTTTCCCTCTCTTTGGTGTCCTGATGGCTAATCGGAGGTCATGTTCCACCTGCCCCATGAGGACAGTACGTTCAAAGCCCATAATCCCTGACCAAACACTGAATATTTGATACCCGCAGAGAGGCCAGGTTGGCATCATGTCTCGGTAATGTCCTCATTCTGTTGCTGAGACAAGATTCACGATGTAGCACTGCTTGTTTTCAATCTTTTGGCTGGGGGTTAGAGTCTGCGGAGTGTATGCATCTTGTATCATCAGAAGCTAGTCCTGAGCTTCCATACTAATAAAGAACCATTGGTTTGTGGATTAACCTTTGCGCCACTTCTGCAACAACCCCTGTCACCTCTGCAGAGCTTATAGTAATGTTAAGGTGGTGCAACATTACCAAAGGGACATTAACATTTGGTTTTTATTATTGGTCTGCAGCTAATTCCCCCCTCTGTTATAAAACGTCCAAAATCACAAACTTTTATGGTTTTTAATGAACAACAATATTTTTTGCTTGTAGCATAACATTTCTCCCGTGATGTTTTGGACAGGTGAAATACTACCAGATGTCTAACTGTGTTGCCTAATTCTTTCTTTCACACTCAGTGAACATACATGGCATCTGCTTCATTCGCCCGACAGGCAACTGTGCGTAACACAGTCTGAAGCTTCATGTTTGTGTTCAAAACCGTG